CAGCCTGTAGCCATGGAACCGAGACAAGCATGGAGCTCAGAGCTGTTCCCATTTGTGCTTACTGGCCTAGGCATGAACTGGAGCTTTCACACGTATGATATCTTGGACATAAATTAGGTAGTTGGGTACAGTGCTGAATTAATTTGAAGACAAGAGTCATGAAAGAAATCCTGATGTTCACACCTGGAGATATATTTGGGGTCATAGTGGTCATAGTAACAACAAGAAAAATAATCGTGAATATATGGTAGACGTTTTTTCTGCCAAGCTCTGCTTTAAGCCTTTGTGTGTGTGATTATATTTAATCCTTGTAGCAGCACAGCAAGACAGGAGTATGTCCCAGTTTATAGCTTGGGAAACACGGACCCAGCGAGCGACAGTTTTGTCAAAGGCCGCCCATGTGCAATATTTCACATTAGGGTAGTGCAGAGCTGATGCTGTCCCCAGTATCAAACAAGGAAATTGAGGCTGCTGGAAGTGAAGTCCCCTCTTAATGCTAGCATGGCCAGTTAGTGTCCCGCTCTCAGGGACCCCGAGTCTTCTGACATCCAGGCCAGTGTCCTTTGCGCCATACCAGCCTCCGCCCTAGATTATGCACCGGAAGACTAAGCACGTTCTGACTGGGGCTTCTGCTCTTTGTTGTCCCCACGCTGCAGGAGGCGAGGCCTCTCAGCCCACACTGGAAGGCCATTGCCCGGAGCAGCAGACAGCCCCAAAAGGGCAGAGAGCCTGCTAATGACAGGCCTGTGAGCAGGGCCAGTGGGCACCAGGCGGGGGGGTGTACACTTCTGTGGAAAGACTTACAGATCTGATCTGCCAGCTCTTTCCACAGTCCACAATGGAGAACATGACCTTTATTTACCAGCAGAGGCAAGAGTGCTATCGTCTTTTCATTTTGTTTCACAGACTTTTCCAGTCGCTTTCTCCTCCCACTGTAAATCCTCGTGCCTTTGTTACCTTTTTAACTCGGGTGCCTTTTCCCTGTCAGCCCGCAGCCAGCCTCTTTGGGGCACCCACTTTTTAGAAAATTGCTATATGCATCTGTGTTTCTTATTTTCAAACTGGATACTTGATTTCTTTCCTTCTTCATCCCCTTACTCCTTTCCTTCTTTCTCGTGTCACCTAACTCCTGTTCATCCTTAGAGGTCCTCTGCTCAGGGAACCTTCCTGGGAACACCAAACTGGGATAGCAAGAAGGTAGCCTCGTGACCTTTGCATTTTCGTTCAGACTGGGCTTATACCAGCCCAGCATGGGTTACATACGCTGTGTGCTTTCCTAGTGCAAATGCAAGAAACAGCAATTGCTAACATTTGTTGAGAGCCTGCCTTATGCCAGGCATTATTCTAAATGCTTTGGATTCACGTTACCACAGTGCTCCTCAAAACAAGCCCAGTGAGAGGAGGTTCATCATTACTCCTGTTTTATAGATGAGGAAACTTAAGGACCAGAAAGCTTAGGTGAGCGTCCCCGAGGTCACACAGCTGATGCGTGGCAGAATCAGGAAGTGAGCAGCCTCTTCTACTTCTGGAGCCCCTGTTCTTAGCCCATGGACTGTCTCTACATTTTGGGGGCCCTGACTGTGTGCCAGGCACCGTCCTAGGGCTTCAGTAGCTCCTTTAAGCTCCCAGCAGCCCTAGGAGGTATAGGTACTGTTTCCTCTGTGCACGGGCATATTGTTTGCCCGTGACCACCCAGGCAGTGGCCAGGCAGGATTTGCACCAGGGCCCGTTTGGCTCCAGAGTCCTCTGTGTCACACCCGTTGTCCTGCTGTCTTTGGTTTTTGGTCTCACAGAAGTCACTACTTTCTGTTAGACCGTGAACCCCTCCAGAGTAGGGTCTGTGTGCAGTCACCCTGTCCTCCCTTGCCTGGTGGTGGGCCTCCCTTACAGTGGCTGCTCCAGAAATGTGCTGCGTGAGTGAGTAAGCAAGGTAGTGAAATGGGTTAGGTACCTGTATGCGTGCATACACCTAGTCGAGGGAGCCGCAGAAGCCACCACAAGGCAGAGGAAGACGGAACAGAGCGTTGCCTCGCTCTGCAAGTTAGCTAACAAACGTTTTGCTCCGTCACTACAGTTTCCTCTCAGTCTAAGGAGCAGATGGATGAAGGAGAAGCTAGAGAAAGGGAAGGATGAGGTCCCATGATGAGCTCTGCTTCCGCCCTCCTGGTTACGATGGGAAGTACCGATCATAACTGAAGCCCCCGGTCCCTCCGCGCCTCATTAGGGAGTTAGAAAACGCACTGTTGCATCTTGGTCAGAGTCCCACATGGAGGCTTTGCAATCCTTGAAGACAACCCAGCAGCCCGTGGTTATGGTGCCACCTGGAGATGGCAGGTGGTATTACCATCCTTTCAGTTCGGGACACGGGTCGGAATTCATCTTGCAAAATGCATTTCCTCTTGAGTGAGTAAAGTCCCATTTTGTAATTGTTTCTCTGCTGACTTCATGCTTTGATCAAATCAGTAGTTGTTTTCTATTTCTTCTGTTCAGAAATTCAGTCCTGCTTTATACTCAGGTAGCCAAGTTCCCTTTGGAGCTGTTTTACTGATGCTAAGCCTTGAGTAAAGGGTGTGTTTCAGGATGAGAGCAGGCATGGAGCGCTGGGGGTGGTGGGCAGAGGCCACACTCCAAGGAGAGCGTGGGTTGAGGCCTGTTGGGGGGAGGGGGATTGGTCGGGGGAGGGGTACAGGGGGCAACGTGGGCATCCCTTTGCCTTCTACGCTTGTTCCCGTCTGCTGTGTTTACAATTTGCTGAAGGAGGAGGGTTCAGTGGAAATTAGGTGACGTTCTAACTTTGGGCCCTCGAAGGCAGGTTTATTTTGCCATGACTTGCGTAAGGGGTTATATTTAGCCCAGGCAGTATTTAGCTGTAAACACGATTGATCATTTAGTGCATGACTTTTTCCTGTTCTTCCGGATGGTGGACTTTTTCTTCTAATTTTTTGCAGGACAGCAGGCTGAGCTGAACCTTAAACACTCATCTAATCCAGACCTCTGCCTTCCCCTAAGCAATTGAAAACAGACAGTTGTTTGTCTCCTCCTTAAAAATCCCCAACAAAGGAAAATTCTGTTTCTCACTTGTTCCACTGTTGAGCATGATTTTTCACTGGCAAGTTCTACATATTTCAAATGAACTAGTTCCTTAATTTTGGTGGTAAATTTACTTATGTTAATCTTCATACGTAAGAAGATAATTATTTTAAACTTTAGCCTTTTCAAACTTAATATCTGGTTTTCTACGGGGTTCTCGCTGCTCCTCAGCTTAGCTGTGATTCAGTGCCTTTCTTCTTAGAGGGTGTTTCTTAACCTTTTAAAAGCCAAGGTTTCCGTTGTTGAACATAAAGTCTCTTGTTCCTTCCACTCTGGTGATTTTCCTGTTCCCCAGGCGTGTCCCCACCCCAGTTAGGATATGTTGAATCTTCTGTGTTGCTTCACCATCAAGAGGATTTTTTAAATTACTTTGTTGGGATATAATTCACATACTGTTCACCCATTTAAACTGTACAATTCAGTGGTCTTTAGTATAGTCACAGATATGTACACCCATCACCACAGACAATTGTAGGATATTTTCACCACCTCAAAAAGAAATCCAATATCCTTTAGCTATCACTACCCCCTACTACCCCAGCACCAAGCAACCACTATTCTACTTTCTGTCTCTATATTTTTCTATTCTGGACATTTCATATACACAGAATCCTACAGTATGTGATCTTTTGTGACTGTCTTCTTAGCATAATATTTTCAAGCTTTATCCATGTTGTAGCATGTATCAGCACTTAATTCCTTTTTGTGGCTAAATAATATTCGGTTGTATAGATATATCACGTTTTGTTTATCCTTTTATGAGTCACTGGACATTTGGGTTGTTTCCACCTTTTGGCTACTGTGAATAACGCTGCTATGGACATTCGTGTACAAGCTTTTGTGTGGATTGTATTTTCATTTTTCTGGGTAGATACCCAGGAGTGGTGTTGCTGGGTCGTATGGTAACCCTGTGTTTAATCGTTGGAGGAACTGCCAGACCGTTTTCTGAAGTGACTGCACCGTTTTACACTCCCAGCAGTAGTGTGTGAGGGCTCTGATGCTCCACAGCCTCCCCAACACTCATCATCTGTCTTTTTGATTCCAGCCTCCTAGTGGGAGTGAAGTGGTGGTTTATTATGGTTTTGATTTGCGTTTCCCCAATGACTCTTAACATTGAACATCTTTTCATGTACTTTTTCTCCATTTCTATATCTTCCTTGAAGAAATGTCTATTTAGATTCCTTGGCCATTTTTAAAATTGGGTTATGTTCCTTTTGAATTGTAAGAGTTTTTGATATATTCTAGATAGAAGTTCCTTATCAGATATATGACTTGCAGATTATTTTCTCCCATTTTCTGGGGTGTCTTTTCACTTTCTTGATCATATCCTTTGAAACACAAAAGTTTTTAATTTTGATGAGGTCCAATTTATCCATTTTTTTTTGTAAGATTTGTTTTCTATCGTACATGTTACAAAACTATTAGATATATTTTCATTTTCTAAATGTAAAATTGTAGAAAATATGATGTTTTAAAAACTGCACCATCCCCCGAGAGCCCTTGGCCTGTGGGTGGAGTTTGCTCTCCCCTCAAGACCCATGGACCTCGCTAGGGGATTTCACCCCACTGCCTCTTTTCACGGGTGCTTCAGTTTTGTCACATTTTTCTGTCAATTTTTTTGCTTGCTTTTAACTGGAGAGTTTTGAACTTAGCAGAGAATTTAGAATAAAATCTTAATATTAAATAAAAGTGGAGAGGTAATGTTTTGTAGGCCTTATGGATGTTCCGATCTTTAATATCCTATTACATTTTAAAACAGCTGTACCGTCATTTCACAATATTCTGCCTTTCGTCCAAAGACCATTGTACGTTCTGTTTATGCAGAGCAAGTCTTCAAACGGGATGGCCACAGTAAATGTGATCGTGAAAGGCGATGGCTTTCATATGGATCCTTTCTTCTTTTCCAATAGGTGTGGCAGATCCCAGAAAATGGACTCACCCTTTCCCTGACCGAACCTGTGGTGATTCTAGAAGGCCACTCAAAGAGAGTTGGCATCGTGGCCTGGCACCCGACGGCCCGCAACGTGCTTCTTAGCGCAGGTGGGAGCTAAGCGGTCCTCTCCTTTCCCCTTGCCGTCGCTTCTCGCAGCCCTTCGTGGGGAGGGCACAGCAAATGCATTTTGACTCTGTGCTGTACGGCTTTGAAGCAGGTCATTAGGAATCCAGGATGAGGTGCTGAGATGCAGTGGTTCCCCAGCCCGCACTTGTGCGCGCGCGCACGTGTGTGTGGCTGTGTTAGGGCCACTTGGACAGTCTGATGGAAGCTGTGGCCTTCCTGCTTAGAAAAATGGACAGATACATACTTACCTGTAATTTCAGCAGATCAGTGCTTTCTGCTGGGGCCCTCCGTGGACCACAGTGTTAGTTACTCCTGATGGAGGAGAGGGAACCCGGGTGGGAGCCAGGAGCCCTCTGTTCCAGCTCTGGTGTTGCTGCCAACGTTGGAGGGATCCTGTTAGGCAAATATCCTCCTTCTTTTTAAAAAATACTTTCATTTTTCTCCTTATACAAGTAGTACGTGTATGTTATAGAGAATATATGTAAACAAAAGGCAGAAAATAAAAATCACTTGTAATCCCACCACCCAGAGGGAACATCATTATTACCACTTGGACGTTTCTTTCCAGAAGGTGTTCCTGTGCACATAGGTAATTGATTTTACACACACAGATGGGTTCAGACACTTTGCACGTGACCTGCTTTCTGCACTTAGTGGTACACTGTGGTCCTTTTCATGTGCCGTTAAATGTTCTTCCTATGATATTTTTAACGACTCCGTTAATAGTCAGTTATCTGGATACCTCAGTTTATTTAATCAGTCCCCTATTTCTGGCTGTTGAGCTTGTTCTGATCTTTCACTTTAAACAGTGCTTCACTGACCCCTGGTGACCAAGGTCTGCTGTTCCTGTTGTTTTCCCATTTGAGTGGTTTCCAAGTTTTAGCTTACAGAAATCTTTTTCTTTGTCTAAAATTGAGATTTTATCTTCTTTTATAGAAGGAACACAACAGGCATAGAGGAGCTTTGTGGGATGTTGGAAATGTTCCTTATCTTGATTGTGATGGTGGCTACATGAATATATACATTTGTCAAAATGAATGTATACTTAAAATGGGTACATTGTATTATATGTAAATTATACCTTAATAAAATTGGTTTATTAAAAAAGCAATACTAATGTTAGTAGTAGAATTTTAAAGATCTTTCCTCTCACCAGTAAAAAGGAGTGTGGCGGGGCAGTTCAGTTTCTAACTGGGAATAAAGGGTGTTTATAATATAGTGAGTTAAATAAAAAATTTAATGCCAGGGACCTATTGGAACCGAGAACTACTTTTCAAAAAAGATGCTACATAGGATTCTCTTTTTTAAAATCACAATTGGGGCCGGCCCGGTGGCGCAAGCGGTTAAGTGCGCATGCTCCACTGTGGTGGCCCGGGGTTCGCCGGTTCGGATCCCGGGCGCGCACCGACGCACCACTTGTCAGGCCATGCTGTGGCGGTGTCCCATATAAAGTGGAGGAAGATGGGCATGGATGTTAGCCCAGGGCCAGTCTTCCTCAGCAAAAAAAGAGGATTGGCAGATGTTCGCACAGGGCTGATCTTGCTCACAAATAAAATAAAATAAAATAAAATCACAATTGACTATACCTGGGAACCCTTCTGACATTCTACTCAGACTCTCAGTCTGATAAGGAGAGAAAACAATTCCAAAGGTGGAATTGCATCATGGAAAATTCCTGCTTCTTATCGAGGTCAGACGTAGGGTATCCTGAGCAGACCGGCCCCTGTTCTCCCTTTTACAAGCAAAGGAGAAAGGTTAGCTGTGGGGCTATGCATGTTTAAGACCACGTGATACACCCTGGTGGCCACCATTACCTGTTTGCCCGTGGTGAACGAGGCAGAGGGGTGAGGTCTCCATCCCAGAGTTCAGCTCTAACTTTTCATACTGTGGTGCATACTGTTTTTCTGCAATTTCCTACCTGGAACCCGTTGGCACCTTAAGTGTCCTGGGTGTTAGTGACTGATTTTTCTAAAGTGCTTGCAAAATTAATTTACTGGCAAAAATTCACCTTCAGGACGTCCATCTCTTATTTTGCTTCATCCTGAACTAATATCCTGGAAGCCATGACAACAAAAAGCCTCTTTTTAGAGTGGCCTTGGGGGTTTGGGGCCGACCCTTGAAGGACAGAGTTGATGAGCTGAGGGGTTGTGGCCCCATCGACATCTTGGCCTCTTCAGGGATCGGTTCCTGAATCTACGTGCCTACAGCTTGGGCTTCTCAAATCAGCCCAGTCTTGGTCTGTTTTTCTCCTGTTCTAAAGATAAAGATCTGTTGTGAGCAAATGGTTAGGCCAGTCTTTGCATTTCCCTTTCACTTACTGTAACTTACCAAGACGTGTTTTACAACATCATTGATTTGAATAACCTGCCATCGTCTATTTTTGTTGAGTGTTCTAAACAATTATTTAAACTCTTTATTTTTAGTTTCTCTGGAAAAGAAATAAGCTGTATTCATTCTGATGCTAGTTTTACTAGACAGGGAAACTTACGGTCACTTGGGGTCTACCAGCCCAGTTAACTCTTAAAAAAACATAAGATTCTATTTTCTTATAGTTCTTTGTTTTTGTTTGGTGGTGGTTTTGTTTGTTTCATATGAACCCAAACTTAACAAGCTGTGTTTTTCCTTTAACACTATTTCTTTTATACAAATGTCTTTTTTCTTTGTCACTTCAGTTTTTAACCCCCAGTAAGCAGGGCCTCTTACAATCATCACCGTCCTTCAGTGCATCTATGTCCTCCCTGTTTTATTTGTAGTTTTCATAAATGTGTTGTTGTGCAGTGTTGTAGTCTCTGAGCGGCGTGGTTTTGCTTGCTTTTAGGCTGCGATAATGCCGTCATCATCTGGAACGTGGGGACGGGGGAGGCCCTTGTAAACCTGGACGATATGCATTCAGACATGATTTACAACGTAAGCTGGAACCGGAATGGCAGTCTGATCTGCACGGCTTCCAAAGACAAGAAAGTGCGAGTGATCGATCCTAGGAAACAAGAGATTGTTGCTGTGAGTATTCTTAGGACAAAACACCCGGTATTTGTAGCGCTTCAGTGAGTGTGAGCTGTCTGCTTTTTACGGTGGGCTGCGGAGGCTGCGCTGCTCGTCTTTGGGCCCTTACTGTGTGCGCGCGCCCAACTGTGAAGCTGAAAAGGCTCGTACAGGCTTCTGCCGCCCGACCTCACTTCCCTTCAGTTGTACATTTCTCGCTTTTACCCAAGTCTTCTCTCTCACTTGGTGACCATCTTTCACAAAGAAGCAAAGTTTTTACCAGTTCACTAGAGTCCTTGAGAATTTATAAGTCTAAATCAGCTAACCTAAACTGTTAACTGCATTCCTGGCTTAGTACTGAATATTGATGAATTGGTTCCCTACTCTGTTCCAGAAACGATTGTTGAAGTGCCTTACAAAGACACAGCAGGTTCTTTCAACAGCTCAGGGTCTTAGTTTCTGCCACCTAAACTAGGCCTCAACAGAATCACATATTGTGACAAAAGATGGACATTTGGGACTTGAGTCAGGGTTGAAACTGCAGGTGTTGAGTCCAAGAGTGCCTCACTTGAGCCCCACCCTGAGGCCCTGTGATGGCCCTTCTCAGACGTGGGGGTTCTTCAGCAGCATTGCTCCTCAAGAGTCGGGTGATAGTCGTGGCTAGTGCTCATTGAGCACTGGGGACTTGCCCAGCCCCATGCAGAGGGCGCTCTCCACTAGAACCTTCCAGCGGTCAGTGCTGGTGCACTCACTGAACAAAAGACGCTAAGGAAGGGGTTAACTAAACAGGACTTCTTCCTGTCCTTTAAGGTTGGTGGAAACTATAGGGGGTGTCCAACCTCAGGGTGTTATCCTCTCAAGAAACAGACATCTGGCAGAGGCCTTGCATGTGTTTGCTTTTTGCAGAGCATGGTCCTGGGTCGGCAGCAGGGCACGGTGGAGAGAATGAGGCTTTCAAGTCAGCCCCTGGCACTCGCGCTTGCTCACTAGCTGAGGGGCCTTGACTGCATCCCTGAGTGTCTCTGTGTTTCCTCACCTGACGGGGGAGGGGGTTAATACACACACACACGCGTGCACTCACACTTTCACGCGTGCGCACACACATGCACTCACACACAGACTCACACGCGCGCTCACACACTCTCACATACGCGCGCGCGCGCACACGCTAACCTGAATGGCTCGTGGGCTGTGGTTGGGTTCAGATGTGAGCCCCCAGCCTCCCACCTGACCTTTCCTTCTTGCAGTCTGAATGTGTGTAATGTGCCCCTTTGCTCTTTCTTCCCCAGGAGAAGGAGAAAGCACATGAAGGAGCAAGACCCATGAGAGCCATCTTTCTGGCTGACGGGAATGTCTTTACCACTGGTTTCAGCCGCATGAGCGAGCGGCAGCTGGCCCTCTGGAATCCGGTATGCCCCTCCCGGCCTTCCCACTGGCTGACTCTTGAGCTTTCTCTCCTTTCTGATCAGGTCTTTGGGTTGCTCGTAGATTATAGGATTCTTAGTCTAGTTCTCTGAACTGCTTCTTGTCTTAAATTGGATGTGAAGTTCTCATCCTTGCTGGAGACTTATTGCTGAATGTATTTCAAAAATGCATTCTTGATATTCCCGAGGAGTCTGTGTTGACTATATTTTTTTAGAAAGAATGCATGAAGAATCCAGTGTTTTAGACTTGGGAAACAAATTCTAAACTTATATTTTATAAAGAATATGATCAAATGTCTAAATCAAAAGTCATGTTTAGGAAAGTGTTTAGAATAGCATAAGTGAAAAAAAAAATACTAAACTGTATATATGGTCCTATCTCAATCTGTGTACATGTGTGGGAAGGAAATAGACCAAAATGGTCATTGTTTCTGCCACCCACTGGACTGTGGGATTATGGAATATGGAGTGATTTTTATGTTCTTCCCGTATCTTTTAACTTTATAAAGAACATATATTTGTTTTATAATACGAAAAAAGTACCATTAAAAAGGAAAATAGTCACAAAGGAGAAGGGTTCTCATCTTTCTCATGGGCTCACACTGATGTGTGCATTAATTGTTGTCAAATTGACACAACTTTCAGTGGGTTGGAGCCCGTCTAGTATCCCAGCGGTATTTACGTGTATGAATATTTTATGTGCGTTGTTCAAACTTTCATTATTCTAGGGAAGTGGCTAACAGGGATAAAAGAATGTATAATATTACAAAAATTCATCTTTTAAAAATGTGTGAGTATATATGTGTGTGTGTGTATATACATATATATTTTTTCCTCTCAGAAAAATATGCAGGAACCAATAGCTCTTCATGAAATGGACACTAGCAATGGGGTGTTGCTGCCCTTCTATGACCCGGACACCAGTATCATTTACCTATGTGGAAAGGTAAACAGTAGTTTTGATGTTTGACATTAAATTTAATCTTGTAGGAAGGAAAAGTTTATCCTTCAGAAATTTAGGAGATAGACAATGTATTGTATCATTGTAACATTTTAATTTGGTGTGTGTGTGTGTGCGCGCGTGCACGTATGTGCGCGTGTGTCTTAAGCTACAGTAAGGACAGATTTATGTGTTAGGTCCTGAGACTGGCCCGTCTGTAACTTGCCACTGTGGGCATCCCAGGCCGTGTCCAGTGCTGCTGACTGCAGCGGGGTTGGGCTGGGCGTAGGGGCAGGTGCTGGCAGGGAGGTCTCTGCTCGGGACCCTCTGGTGAGAACAAGAGGACCTGCGGGCGCCTTTGCACCTGCTGGTGCGCGTGGTTGGGGGTTTCAGGTGCTCTGTACTGGGACCAGTCTGCTGTGTCTAGTGCTAACGAGGAAAGAGAACAGGAGCTTCCGAGGGCTCAGAGACTCTCCAGGGTTCCTGTTCCCAGAGCTCAGCCTTAGGCCCTGGGTTGAAAATGTGCGGCCTGACGAAAGTTTCAGGAGGTGACAGTTGCTACGGGAAGACCCCACACTGAACCCAACGAACCTACCCTCCTGCCTTATGATCTCCCCCTAACTAAAGTGTTGGTAGCTTTATTTTTACTGTTATTATCATTTCATTTTAGTAGGCAGTAACCTCAGTATTCCTCATTCTTTTGTAGGTTCAGTTTTTCTTAGCATTTGTAGTTGAAATAAATGAATTAATAAAACTGGAGCTGTTGACGTGGTGTCTTCCCCCAAACCTGTTAGGGAGCCAGTTGCTGGGTGAAGCTGGGGTGCTTTACTTTTTTGCACAGCTGACTGAGCGTGCTGCAGGCCTGCTTTACATTTTGATAGGTCAGTTACTTAGAAACTGAGATGGTGTCCATTTCCTTGAAAGACACTTTACTTTAGATGATAACAGCTGCCGGAGACTGCATCAAAACAAACAAAAGGAGCAGCTCCCCGGATGCTGTTAACGCTAGGTGGGAAATTATTTTGAGCATGCAGAAAACAAATAGTTTGCGATCAGCTTCTTTATCGTTGCCTAGATATTTACAACATTGAAACAAATGGAAATCATGAGAACTGAGAGCATTGTTAGGGCATAATACTGCCTAGCTATTTATATCATATATATGAGATATATGTATATATGATATATACATACACATACACACACGCACACACATTTCTCCTCTCCCAGGCAGGATTGCTTTCGTTGTTCAGGTTGGTGTAACTGTGTAACAGTTATTTATACTTAGAGAGACTAGCATATGTTTTAGATCTCCCCAAAAATCTGACCATTCAAAGCAAAATTATCACTGAATTTGACACATTGCAATGAGATAGCACTTGCTTCTGAAGTGACAGGATACACACTAAGACTGCTGTTTCTTAATTAGAAAAATCTTACTTTTGATCATCATCTGATTGTCCGGTGTCAGTGCCCTCAGGTCTGTGAATGACACTGCTCTGTGCCAGTGGTTGAATACTCAGATCCGTCGTCGTCCTCTCGGCTGGTCTCCTCATCTTCAGTTGTGTGTTGTTGCAGCTGGATTGCAGTGCAGCTGTTTGGCAGAGGTGTTAACATTTGCCCTGACTCGGCCTTGGTGTCTCGGCACAGTGCAGTAAAGCTAGAGCCTTTAGTAGGAGGAGAGGAGACCGTTTACAGGGCAAGCTAGCGTTTCGTAAGTGAAGGCTTACTCCGCCGGGCAGAGAACCTGTCATCTGCCTTAGGCAACCCTCTTAAGAGGAAGGACAGGTCAGCCACTGTAGCAGAGTCCCAATTAATGCTGGGTTTATAGGGAGGGAGACACCCACTTAAACCAGATGTTTCAGGTAACATTAAACACAAACCTGTCTCCGATTTCTCGTAGGGTGACAGCAGCATCCGCTACTTTGAGATCACGGATGAATCCCCGTATGTCCACTACCTGAACACATTCAGCAGCAAGGAGCCTCAGAGAGGGATGGGTTACATGCCCAAGAGGGGGCTTGATGTTAACAAATGTGAGATTGCCAGGTAAAGAATCGGTAAAGGATTCAGATTATTTATACTGTCCATATTATACAAGAGCAGTACAACTGCAAGTAAGGCTATAATGCCCGAGTCTTTCTACCCTTGTGGATGGTTTAGAATGAGTATCTTATTTCCTGCCCTTATTTCCACGCACTTAGACACGTGGAGTTTTAGAGCAGGAAGGAACCTTTCAAAATCATTCAGTCCAACCATGCCCCTCCCCATTCTTCAGATTGTATAGCTTGAAGTGCAGCAGTTGCATGGCTCAGCTGAGGTACGTTGCATACGTATTTAAATACCAAAGCCTTTGTGTCTTGTCTTTGGATTGAGGCTGTGGCCACTGTCCCCTGGGAGGCAGGCAGGGGAGAGCCTGTCCCTGTGATGGAAGTAAGGGATGGTTTTCCTGCCCTGTGCATTGCAAATCAGGTTCCAAACTGGACTGTGGACCCCACGGATCCTAAACTAGAGAACCAAAGATCTACAGCACAGCGTTGGGTTAGCTTGATGTAGGAAGTTCAGCTATGTTATATAATTCCTGCCTCCCTGCACTACTATGGATCTTTAAAAATTTATATTCCATAATGCTAGTGGGCTTCCTAAGGGGCAGGCTTTTTTCTCATACTGTCAACAAAAGATACTCAGTGAGACTCACCACTTGCCATTTTAAACAGCAGAATAACTGGCACTGCATTATCGGGCACACATTTGTATAACACTACGTTTATGTGGACATTTGTCTAAGTTTGCTGTTCTTAACTTAGTCTAAGTTTGCTGTTCTTAACTGTGGTCACACAGTTAAATAATTGACACGTATAACATCTTTAAAAATAAAAGTAAAAGGGGCCAGCCCAGTGGCACAAGCGGTTAAGTGCAGGTGCTCTGCTGCGGTGGCCCGGGGTTCACAGGTTTGGATCCCAGGCGTGTACCGACGCACTGCTTGTCGAGCCATGCAGTGGCGGTGTCCCTTATATAGAGGAAGATGGGCACGGATGTTAGCTCAGGGCCAAGTCTTCCTCAGCAAAAAGAGGAGGATTGGCATCAGATGTTAGCTCAGGGCTGATCTTCCTCACAAAAAAAATAAATAAAAAAGAAAGAATTTTTATAAGCCCTTTTTTATATTAATCACTATGGGTGTTTTTTAATACATTCAGCTGTCTATGACTCGAGTAATGAAGGAAAGCTGTCACAGGTAATTCAAAATTGTGGTTTAAACCAAACCCATCGAAATATGGTTCACAATAGATTGAATCTGAATTTAAGATTACATCCAGTATTTGGGAACGCATTTCTTTTGCTGTCACCTAAAAGTTTAAAAGACTATAAGCACAATCGTTTGGGACACCTCCCACTTATTATGTGTTTCTTGAGCATTCACTATCGGGCACTGTGCTAAACGTGCACCGTGGATTCCCTCTTTTACCTCTTGTAACAACCCTGGGAGGTGGGTGGCTTTTCTGTCGCCCTGTGTGCATGAGGACCTGGAGGTGTGGTGTAGGTGTCCCACACTCAGGCGTCATGGAAGCTGAGCTGGAAGTCAGGCCCGGGTCAGTCTTTTTCTCCACAGTGCTGACTGCAGAGATTTGTGCTTTATGTTCCTACTCCTTCCACATTTGGGATTATTTCAGACTTTTCTTGAGTGTTATGCGTGATGTAGTTTGCTTGGATGCCAAAATTTTAATTCTTGGGATTGTTTTCTTTTCCTCTTTTAAAAAAATCATGTTTATACTTACAAATGTTCACCCACCTGCAGTTGGCAGAAGACCTGGCATCTTAGTCACCGAGACTGTCTAGTATGTCGGTGTTTGTTTTCTCCTATCTGCTGACTTGGTAATTTTTTCACAAGTGAGTCGTTATCAGTGGTGCTGTCATTTCCACCACTGTTGGTCTGCCCCAGGCGATTGGAATTGGGCGGTCACCATACTGCATAGACCTTTCTATCCCAGTTCTTGCCTCCAATCTGCTGTGTCCCAGCACGGCTCCTCTGCACTTCTGTTTTCTCATCTGTAAAATGGGAACACTAGGTTCTACCTGCTCCCCAGGGTGGATCAGCTGAGGTGATGGGCAAGCATTTCAGCGCCACACAGCACTGTAGAAGAGCAGTTGTTATTAAGCCTGTTATTGGCCTCCTATTCCACTTAATGCCACTTTGTCTTTATTTCCTCTTGAAGATTCTTCAAACTTCATGAGAGAAAGTGTGAGCCTATTATCATGACCGTTCCTAGGAAGGTAAGTGCCCATTTTTTTTGGCAGTCCCTGTTTAAAAAAGATTCTAAAAATCCCAGACCTTTCTTCTTCCTTACTTGAAGATTTACAAAATGTCTCTTGTAGTCTGACCTTTTCCAAGATGACCTGTATCCTGACACAGCGGGGCCCGAAGCAGCGCTGGAGGCAGAAGAGTGGTTTGAGGGGAAGAACGCAGACCCCATCCTCATCTCCTTGAAGCATGGATACATTCCAGGCAAAAACAGGGATCTCAAGGTGGTCAGGAAGAACATTCTGGATAGCAAGCCCACTGCAAACAAGAAGTGCGACCTGATCAACGTTCCCAAGAAAACCGCAGACACGGCCAGTGTGGTAAGGAGCACAGGAGTGGAGGGATGTGCGTGGCTGGCCCAGCCTGGTCCTCTCGAGAGCTCCTTCTGGTCCTGGGCATTGGCGAATACTGTCACCACTGAGAGATAGGGTTGTCAGTAAATGGTAACGTGTACTATTTATAAGAACCTCCTCAGTCATGTGACATTTATGAGTTTGTAGCCACATTTGGCTCCTTTAGCTCTTTTTTATAATGACCAGGACAGAAGTTGGTTTATTACCGGCTCTGAGAGTAAACAGGAGCCCCTTGGGTTTTTGTAAATATCTTTCCCCAAACTGTTTACACCCATTCTGGTTTGGGTAAAAATGAAACATGAAAGCATAGGGGCTTAGATGCCAGGAAGAGAAGGTCCCGGGAAGGCGGGAGTGGTGAGAGGGTTCAGATGTTGCTGAGTGTCCGAGTGACAGAAGGATCTGGCAGTGAGTGGGACTTAGCAACACAAATAGTCTTGGCATCTTGGCAAGAAGCGTTGCAGTGCAGTGATGGGAACCGAAGGCTGATGTTGGAGACCTGCATGGCCCCTGGAGAGTGCAGCTGCTGGGGGAGCAGGCTCAAACCAGCGAGGAGGGCCTGGGGAGTTGGCGTGGGACGGGAGGGTCACGAGTGTCAGTGCGAAGGTAGGGGGATGCGGAGGCAAGTGCCTGGAGGAGCTGGCGTTCGGGCCGTGACTGGGGAAGCCGTGGGAGACCCTGTGGGCTGTGGTGACTGCGAGGTTTCCAAGGGAATCAGCTGCACGTGAGAGAGGCTCACACCTTTTTAGAAGCATTAGCAGGCAGGGCAAGGGGGTTAGCTCGCAGGAAGGAGCCTCCCTAGGAGACGGTAGGAGCTGTGTAGCCTCTGCAAGGAGTTGCGTGATGGGGTGTGGGATATGGGGCGGGCTTGAAGGCATCAGTCTGGTCCTGCAGTTTAGTTGTGCCCCAAGAGACTGTCCAGGGAGGCGCACAGGCACGGGGACCAGAGGTAGCACGGTGATGCACTGCGGTGTTGCTGTGGGTGTCACATGGACTGACCAGCATTAATTACTTTCTCGTAGGGCCCAGCCTGGCGGCTATGCCTTGCCACTTCCGAAATAGAAAATGACATTTTATGCCTTATAAATTCTCGGCTGCCTTAAACTTTGTTTACTGCTTTTTAGTCACCCTCTGCTCTCTCCCTTTTTTTTTGTTTCCTTAGCAAAATGAGGCCAAGTTGGATGAGATTTTAAAAGAGATCAAATCTATAAAAGACACAATCTGCAATCAAGATGAGCGTATCTCCAAGTTAGAACAGCAGATGGCGAAGATAGCAGCCTGAAGGTCCACCCCACCCCCAAAATGGGAGCAAGGACTTGTGCTCGTGGCTGGTTGTTGGTGTGGTCCCAGGGAGGGCGAAGGGAGGCACTGCCATTTGGAGACATTCCGTTTCAGATTTGTCAACCAGCGATAGGCCACTTTCCAGTAAGAACTCAATTCGTTTCCCAAATTTGTAGAAACAAGATGTGATTTAAAAGCTGAGCTTTTTATCAGAAAGCTTTTTTGATGTTTTAAGTGTCATGTGACTTGTTGAACTTTTAAAAGACAAAAGTGCTACTTTTAAAAGCCCAGATATTCTGAATTTTAGAAAACCAACCAATTCTGATCCAGTGTCGTGCCCAAGTACCTTTTTTTACAAACAGGGACCAATGCCACATTGCTTTTTATATTTCTTTTTTTTTTTAAATGTTGCCAAAACCAAAAGTAGCTTTTTTTCTTTATATTTTGCTACCTTGCAGTATTTGTGTGTGGTTTTTTTTTTTTTTCCTTAATTTGAAAGGGACAGCACTGTGTATGTTTATAAACTAAATGAAGATACGATGTTATTTTGTATAAACATTCATCTGAGAACAATCAGAGCAGGAGCATCGTGCTGGTTCCTTGGCAGCACAAACCTGGTCCTCTTAATGACCGTACACATGGAAGACTTGAAAAATCACGTGGATTCGTATTACCACCCCTCTCATTTCATTGAGTCTTCTGATCAAAAAAGTTCCATAGCGTATCGTTTCCTTTCTTTCCTTTCTCTTTTCTAGAAACTGGGTGGTTGTACCAGAATGGGATTTTGCTTCTTGGTTATCCTGTGCTTCAGATGATTATAATCTAACCTAAACAAGCATGCGTTTCTGCAGTTTTGTTACACACAGTCTATTGTATTTATCACCCTAACATCACGTTTCAGGTTTGGGTCAATACTTGACAAGGGTGCCCGGGACAAGAGGACGCACATACTGTGGAGTGTTCCTTCTTGCCGGTTTCAGCAGCTTGCCTAGCTCCTGAGTACAGTGGGGGACTGAAAACTAGGGAACTTGCAGGGGAGGGTTTGCCTGCGTGATCCTCTGCCTGCCTGCATGTCCCGTGCTGTCCCCGTGCTGTGCTGGAAGAAGAAGGGGCTCTCCCTGCACCCCTCTCTTCCTCACCTGTGCGGCCACCTCTCTCAGGGCTCCCCCAGCCGTTCCTCTCTCCCTGCTGCCTTTCAGCCTTGACTGCATTCAGCTAAGATGAGGCCAGAGGGTGCTATTGAATCCTGAGGCTGAGAAGGATGGTCTAGAGTGAAGCAGGACCAGGAGTGCAGACTCTGCTGTAGCTTTAGTGTGTGCAGACATGGCCCTTTGCCCTTCCGGCTCGCACTGGGGCTGTGTCAGAGCACAGGGCCCCCCCAGATTCAGGCGGGCCGGAGACTGAGCTCTGATCCCCTGTTCCTTCCTAGGTCAGCTAGACCTTCTCTCCATTTCCATTTTCTCATGTGTGCTTGAGAAACAGGGTTTAAGGAGCCTCTGTTCTGGAAGGTCTGAGTGTCTGTGATGGAACGTGGAACATATAGTGCCATTGGGACCACAGCGGGAACACTTTTGCACATGCTCGTGCTGGTGTGGGGACGGCACTGGCTGGCAGTGTCTGTGTATGGGGAACCAGGATGGAGGCCGAGCGTGGCAGCAGCGGGTTGGAATGCACAGCCAAGCTGGAGGTCATGTCTGCACAGAAAAGGTACCGCGTTCTTAACCGATATTGGGATCGCTGTCTCCACAATTTCAGGGCGTCTGAATGTTTGGTGTGGTTTTGTGTGTGTGTGTGTGTGTGTGTATATATGTGTTCCTAATATTGAAGTGGATAATGAGATGTAAAGAAAACAGTAATTACAGTGACTTATATTCAAACCTGTACATGTTTCTTTATCAACGTAATCTGCTAAGGACCTTCATTTTTAAGATTCAGAAATATTTTAAGGTTCTGATATCAAACTAATTAAGTAAACAAAATTGTCGTTGGTGATGGTAAAACACCATTGGGAATGTGGTTCAAAGAGAAGAGGGTGGGCAAGGAAAAGTGACCCTGGTCCTAGTGTGTAGCTTATGACTTATTTAATGAGCAGATGCCCTGCCAGGCTCAGAGTCGGCACCTGAAGCATTGTGGACTATTCTTCCTGTTTTGTCTTTTTTTTTGAAGCCATGCTATCCCAGAGGAGAACCAGTGAATTGCTACTAGATCGGCTCTTATAGAGCGGCCATAGTATTCTGTCAAAACACTTGCTTCCATTTTCAAAGATAAAAATCGTTGATTACAAAATGGTGTCCGTGTTTATTTCACACCTGGGCTGTCTTTGAGGCCGCCCACATCTCTCTGCCTGGCACAGCTTCTCTGACTCAGTGGAACTAGCCAGGTGACTTTTTCCTCTCTGAGGGTAAGTACCGGGGAGTGTGGGTGGGCCCCTCAGCTACAGCAAGGGGGCGATGAGGTGGGCTCCCCTGGAGTGGAGCGCTTACGTGCCGGATTCCAGCAGGCCTGGATCTCTGAGTCCTGTCTCCAGCCTTTGCCGGAGGTGTGATCGGGGGCAGATTTCCTGTTGAGTCTCTTTTCTTATTTTGAAAGGGGGATAAGAATTCCATATGGTTTAGATGAGAGAAATACCACACAGGGTGCCCTCACTGCCCAGCTGCTGTTGTTCCTTCGCCAAACTGATTCCCTGACAGGGCCTATGAAAGTATTTTTTTCTTCAGTAGAAGTGAAATTCTCTTGACTTGGCTATGATTTTTATTCCAGCTTCTCTTTTTTGCACTAAAACATTGTCTCATGACATTTCAGTGATTGTAGCAAAGAATTCCCCACCATTTGGTTTTGCTAAGTGTTTGTAAACATGAATAATTGGCAGGAAGCTCCCCTCCTCAGATACCTTCTCCTAAAGTTGCTATAGTCTGGGAGAAGAACAGTGGGCAGGTTTGTGGCCAGCCGTGCGTGGTGGCAGGAAGTAGAAGCTGGCAGATGCTGTCGCCCCTCGGTGCCCTCAGTCAGGGGGCAGGCGTGTGGAGTGGGGTGTTTACGACCAGCTGGTTCTCTCACTTCAGCCGCCTTGCTGCTTTGCCAGAAGACCCAGCGGTCACCATGTTAGCTCCAGACGGCCAGCAGCCAGGCTCCGTAGAGGGAGAACTTCCGTTTTTTTAAAGGCTACTTCCCTTGCTGAACTCGATGTTCTGTGTCCAGACAAGCTTTTTGTTGGCTCTTAAGAATCTGTTAACTCCAAGTGGCCCTTCCCTTTCTGGTAGCACTTAGATGTCCTAAAGTTATCATGGGGTCATGGACTTGAGTCATGATCAAGAACACCCACCCTTCCTTCTTCGGACAGGTTGGACAGCACCCTTTGTTCCTTTTTTTTAATTAAAATAAAAATCCTTTCCTCCACTGCTAGAAGGAGTGTATGCAAAGGTACACTCTTTCCAGAGGCTCATGTGACAGGGTATACCTTAAATGTTCTTACCTTTGGGCCCAGGATTTTTACCTCTGGGAATTTTGTCCCAAGGAAACTATGGGAGATACATATCCAAGAATTAGAAGAGGAAAAATGAATCCAGAAGGGTTGGTTAGTGAACCACCCCGGGACAGATGGTTTTTGACAAACCTTTTAAGGATATATGCATATACAATGTATACTTATGTGTGGAGTAAATACCACAAATGTTGTTCATTGCTATGTGTATTGTTGCTATGTGTTGCTATGTAGCAGTTGTGGGTAATTTTTAATTGGATATTTCTGAATTTTTAAATTTCCTGTAAATCTCTTTATTCCCAGAAAGAAGTTATTAAAATTAATGTGTGATAAATTAATAATAGATTAAAACAACATCGTGAGTCAGTGGTGGGGAAGGAAATGATGTGCGACGTTAAGTAGCTCTGGGGGCGGGGACTCCTTGGAGCCTCCCAGCAACACCAGTGTACATTCTTAATGGAGTCAGTAGGTAAATGAAAGGAAACTTTTTTAAGAAAAAAATAAGTCCCTTTTTATCTAGACTTCAGACTGGGGAGAACATTTTAAATCCCAAAGCATGGAATAAATCACAAAGGAAAAGATAGATTGGCTACATAAAAATCAAATTACATAAGACTTTAGTATGTCAGAAAAAAAAAGGCTGTGGAAACTGGAAAACACATTTTCAACCAATATGATAAGTTATTTTATATTTTTTTGCAGGGGAAGATTCGCCCTAAGCTATTGTCTGTTGCCAGCCTTCCTCCTGTTCTGTCCCGCCACCCCCCCAAGCCCCAGGACATAGTTATGTATTGTAGTTGTAAGTTCTTCTAGTTCTTCTGTGTGAGCCGCCACCACAGCATGGCAGCTGACAGACGAGTGGTGTGGTTCTACGCCTAGGAACCAGACCTGGGCCGCTGAAGCGGAGCGCACCGAACTTTAACCGCTAGGCTTTCAGGGCTGGCTCAATGATATACTTTAATATGCTTCCTCTCAGTCCTGGCTGCCTCCTCTATTTGAAGTGGGGATCTTAACACCTCCCTGGGGGCGTGTGTCCAGTTCAAGTCCGAGAGGGCTAATGTGTGGATATAGCATTGCTCGTCCCTGACCCCAGGAATTTCGTCCACCAGCACACTGTTTATCACAAATTGAGAGGGGGAAGGAGTTTCCTAGGAGACACTAGTCATAGTGTGCTTTGTGCAAGTTCTCTAATTGCAAGTTTCTGGAAAAGGTGGAATGGAGAAATGGGGAGTGAGAAATTGCTCCAGATCTGAAGATACCCCAGGATACACGGTGGCTGCTGAGTTTGTTAGGTTGGTAGAAAGGAGGAAGGTGGGTTTAGAGAGGCCGGTGGGATCTTTGAAATGCAATGTAGTTTTACTTTTGTGTGTGTGTGTGTGTGAGGAAGATCAGCCCTGAGCTAACATCCGTGCCAATCCTCCTCTTTTTGCTGATGAAGACTGGCCCTGGGCTAACATCCATGCCCATCTCCCTCTACTTTATATGGGACGCCGCCACAGCATGGGCTGACAAGCGGTGCATTGGTGCACGCCCGGGATCCAAACCCGGGCTGCCAGCAGCGGAGTGTGTGCGCTTAACCACTACGCCACAGGGCTGGCCCCCAATGTAGTGTTACTTTATTGCGTGGAAATGAAACTGGGTAAGAAAACTGATGTTAAGATTCTGAGTTAGTAAATGGGGATGAGGGAGTGTGGGTGAAGAACACGGCTCACATGACCGGAAAGCAATAGCAACCCCGTTGCCCAGGGAGCATAGGGTCAGAAGACAAGAAGTTAATCCATTTCAGCATGACAATCAGGAGGTGGGAAGGCAGCTGAAAAGTGAGTGGACAGATTTCTCGTGTCACAGAGCCACAAGGTGCTTAGTTTTTTGTTTGGGTTTTTTAGTGGAGTATTCCTCACACTGATCTCAAAGACTTGAATATTCCCGGGAAGGATGACGTGTGGGGGGCTTGGAGCAGCCCTGGGGAGAATCGATTCAGACAGGGTTGGTGGGCAGCTCTGGTGTAGGGAAAGCTTCGGGTTCCAAGAGACGAGCAGTGATCAGTGTTTCAAAGGAGGAGCTCACTTTGTGCGGGGTGTGTGCACTAGGGCTTCAAATACAGATCAAGTACCTTCCCCGCCTTCACGGCCGGCTAGTCCAGGTGTTGCAAGTAGATTACAGTATGAGGGGTCGTGCCCAGGGGGCCCTGAGGTGTTGCAGAAGCTGAGGGGTGGGTGCCTCTCCTCCATCAGGACCTTCCTGACAGTCCTGCTGTCTTCTCTTTATTTGGGTCTGATCTCCCTGGCTGGACCAGGTTCTGTTCATCTCGGCATTACTGAGTAAATACTTAATTTTTACAGTGACCGTGTAAAGGTCCTGGAGAAAATTGTAGTGGAGCAGATGACCCCAGTGGTCCAGCGAGGAAGGGTGTTTGGACTGAAGCTCAGTGCCCTGAGGGTCGGGAAACCAACCCTCAGGATTTCAGCAACAAAATCCAAGCTTTCGGGCTATAGGGACGAGGTCTGAGAACTGGAAAGTTGCCCCATAAATAACAGGAAGTTGTTGCAGGTTCGTTTCTGTGCTGAGATAAGATTTGGGTTTTAGAAGGGAGGCAGAGCAAACTCCCAGCAAACTCCCAGGCTGCTGACTGCCACCCTCAACTGCAGTTCCCAAAATGACAAATGAATTCTGGTCACCCTGGCCAGTTTCTACCAGGGGCAGTGGATCAAACCATCACAAAAGACGGCAAGGTGGAGATTCCCACGTGGGCGTCTGGGCACCTGCTGGGAGGCGCCCCTTCTAGAGGGGCCAGACCGTTGTTTGAACAGCCTTGTAGCTGGTTCCTCTGCCTCCACTCGCCTGTTCCCTTTTTTGCTTCCAGGGTGATGTTTTCTAGAACAGAATCTGTCAAGATCTCTGAGGGAGACACAAGTGGTTCCCCTCTTGTCTCCGGGGCAGAGTCCGTGCTCTTCAGCATCCTGTATGAGAGGCCCCTGACTTGGCCCCTTCCTCCCACCCGTCTGGATTCCTGCCTCCTCTCTCATGTTCCCTACACAGGCTGGCAGCTGCTTGCGTTGGCTCCAGCTTCAAAATACATCCGTATTCCAGCCACTTCTCACACCACCGTTACCCCGCTAGTCTGTGCCCCCATGGTCTCCAGTGTAGACTGAGCTTCTGTATTCGGGTTCTCCAGAGAAACAGAAGCAATAGGATGTGTACATATATATACAGAGAGAGAAAGAGATTCGTTGTAAAGAATAGGCTCACACGATTATGGAGACTGACGAGTCCCAGGATCTCCAGTCAGCAAGCTGGAGACAGAGGAGGCTGATGTTTCAGTTTGAGTCCAAAGGCAGCAAAAGACACGCTCAAAGGCGGTCCAGCAAGGAGCTCCCTCTTGTTCCACCATTTTGTTCTCTTCTGGCCTTCGACTGATTGGATGAGGCCCGCCCACATTGGGGAGAGCAATCTGTTTTACTCAGTCAACAGATTCGAATGTTAAATCTTGTCCAGAAACACCCTCACAGACACACTCAAAATAATATTTGACCAAATATCTAGGTACCTAGTGGCCCAGTCAAATTGACGTGGAAAGTTATCACAGTTTCCAAACCAAGCTTCCTGTTGCCCCCCACTTTGGTCTGTTCTCAGCACAGCAGCCAGAGTAACCTTTTATGGTCCTGAGGCAGGGGTGGGCAAACTAAGGCCCACAGGCAAATCCATCCCACTGGAAGTTCCTGTACAGCCCCGCAAGCTAAGAATAGCATTTACATTTTTAAATGGTTGACAAACACCCCAAAGAAGAACAATGGCAAGTAAAAAT